GGGCCATTTTCGCCATGAGAAAAACGTAGATTCTAAAATAAAAAAGGCTTAGGTTCTAGTTGTGTGGAAAACTTCAGGTAAACCTCTTTAACATGAAATAATCAAATCGAATGCCTCTTGTGCGGAAGGGTGTGCTGCTAGGCTTTGAAAATTGACTAAATAAGCTCATTTCGCTATATGTAATTTTTCCAAATAAGGCCATTTTCGCTATGAGAATACCCCAGATTCTAAAATAAAAAAGGCTTAGGTTCTAGTTGTGTGGAAAACTTCAGGTAAACTTCTTCAACATAAAAGAATCAAATCGAACGCCTCTTGTGCGGAAGGGTGTGCTGCTAGGCTTTGAAAATTGACTAAATTAGCTTTTTTCGCTATACGTAATTTTCCAAATAAGGTCATTTTCGCTATGAGAATACCCCAGATTCTAAAATAAAAAAGGCTTAGGTTCTAGTTGTGTGGCAAACTTCAGGTAAACTTCTTTAACATAAATAATCAAATCGAATGCCTCTTGTGCGGATGAGTGTGCTGCTAGGCTTTGAAAATTGACTAAATTAGCTTTTTTCGCTATACGTAATTTTTCCAATTAAGGCCATTTTCGTCATAAGAATAACGTAGATTATAAAATAAAAAAGGCTTAGGTTCTAGTTGTAGGAAAAACTTCAGGTAAACCTCTTTAACGTGAAATAATCAAATCGAATGCCTCTTGTGCGGAAGGGTGTGCTGCTAGGCTTTGAAAATTGACTAAATTAGCTTTTTTAACTATACGTAATTTTTCAAAATAAGGCCTTTTTCGCCATAAGAATAACGTAGATTCTAAAATAAAAAAGGCTTAGGTTCTAGTTGTGTGGAAAACTTCAGGTAAACCTCTTTAACATGAAATAATCAAATCGAATGCCTCTTGTGCGGAAGGGTGTGCTGCTAGGCTTTGAAAATTGACTAAATAAGCTTATTTCGCTATATGTAATTTTTCCAAATAAGGCCATTTTCGCTATGAGAATACCCCAGATTCTAAAATGAAAAAGGCTTAGGTTCTAGTTGTGTGGCAAACTTCAGGTAAACCTCTTTAACATGAAATAATCAAATCGAATGCCTCTTGTGCGGAAGGGTGTGCTGCTAGGCTTTGAAAATTGACTGAATTAGCTTTTTTCGCTATACGTAATTTTTCAAAATAAGGCCATTTTCGCCATAAGAATAACGTAGATTCTAAAATAAAAAAGGCTTAGCTTCTAGTTGTGTGGCAAACTTCAGGTAAACTTCTTTAACATAAAAGAATCAAATCGAATGCCTCTTGTGCGGAAGGGTGTGCTGCTAGGCTTTGAAATTTGACTAAATTAGCTTTTTTCGCTATACGTAATTTTCCCAAATAAGGCCATTTTCGCTATGAGAATACCCCAGATTCTAAAATAAAAAAGGCTTAGGTTCTATTTGTGTGGCAAACTTCAGGTAAACTTCTTTAACATAAAAGAATCAAATCGAATGCCTCTTGTGCGGAAGGGTGTGCTGCTAGGCTTTGAAAATTGACTAAATTAGCTTTTTCAGCTATACGTAATTTTTCCAAATGAGGCCATTTTCGCTATGAGAATACCCCAGATTCTAAAATAAAAAAGGCTTAGGTTCTAGTTGTGTGAAAAACTTCAGGTAAACTTCTTTAACATAAAATAATCAAATCGAATGCCTCTTGTGCGGAGAGTGTGCTGCTGGGATTTGAAAGTTGCCAAAATTAGCTTTTTTGACCTTTGTAAATTGCATAATTTTGTTTGTACTATTTTTATAAAATTATCGTGTATTAATGACACGATTGCACATAATTCTGGAAATTTGTCATCTCTTGAATAAAAAATTAATATTTCGCGCCACCAATATAGAAGAGACGTTATGCTGATCTTCAAAATATCCAAATTACGATATAACGATAATGTACGACATATAATAACCTGACTTCTGATTTCAGCGCCAGTGAGACATATTGAAACAAAACAATTTTTACGTTCTGTTTATTGCATGTGTTGAAGAATTTGCTTTATACTACAAAATGCATGTGAAACTTCTTAAATTACTAAGACATATTATAATGAAGTTTAACGTTTGTTACGTAATACAATACACAGTTTGAAACGAAGTAAAGCACTTTTACGGCTACGAAATGTTGTAATTTAGTAGGCTGGTTTTGAAATATATTTAAAGTTTTACAAAAATGCTCGGGGCTCTTGGTTGAATTAACACTTTAGCAAAATAAGCAGCGCGCATAAAGCATCACGGAATGGGCACCATATAAATTTTTATCGGTATCACAGTGTTTAATAATGTAAATCGAGTTGGTCAGACGATTTGGACCTCAACTCAATGGCTCGGTTGGTATTGCTTATTTCTCTTAGTTCGCGTACCATCTTGCTCCTCTGTATAAATGTTTGCAGGCATGAGAAGTATTTCCAAAAAATGTCACATAAATTGAACATAACTTAGCTTTTTATTAGCAGTTATTACCGAAACCTATGCAGGTGACATGGAACACTCGTTTCGTTATATTTTCAAGCTTATATGAATACGTAATCTAACATTTTTTGTCAAAATATTTGTCCTGATGAATTTTATCAGCTGAGTATATTTAATTTGGACAACGTACTATGACAAATGAAACTGCATAGGCGATCAAACCGCCGGGATGCTCTCCACTCTGTATCCTGAGTTGCCGTCAAATATATTTGAAATTACTGCTTATCGTGATTTATTTCGTGATGTATTTCTTTCACAGCCTGTCTACAAACTTAATCATTGTTCTCTGTGTGGAATTTAGGACTCGCCCATGTTTTACGCCACCACCCTTCAATAAGCACAAAACTGTCATATCACCCTTCAATGAGCACAAAAACGAGATTATACGCACCGCTGCGCAAAATTAGAAGAAGGTTTGCTACTAGCTTCACAGTGGTGCCGGCAACCAACTTGCAGCCTAATGTTAAACACAGTTAAACAAGTTCATGGACGCCATCTTGTGCCATATTTGGGAAACGCGAAACAATGGAGTCTTATGGGAAATTTCCGTCGTGTTGTTGTACCGAATGGAATAAGTCCGCTGTTATAAGGGCTAGAATAAAACCGGAGGGTGGATTTTGAACTTTAAGATATATGCCATCTAAATATATATAACGCAATTAAGAATGAAAAAACTATCTAAGGCGTTAAATTCGACCACAGACACAGCGTAGAACCATTTTTGGTCAATTTTTCAAAGATTTTATAGTGATACGCCAATTTGGGGCTGTAAAATGTCTCCGCAACAATCCTACAATGTCATTTGTTTCTCTAGCGCAGCTTGGAGCTGAGCAGTAGGGCATTATGGGGCTTGACAGACGAAAAATTGTAATATAGTCCTTTGAGCCGTGTCCGTTCATGTCTGAAGATGACTTCTAAGTTCTGTACTTATCACGTGTACTGTGTTACATTAGTAACCCAAAGTATTCGAATCCAACGGGATCCGCTAACAGGATTCGGTTTCTGCCTTTCTGGCGCCATGCGTCAATTTTTGTATTTCGGGTTTCTAATTTATCAATTATAGACGAGCGTTTTTCTCACGTGGAAATCTCTCTCGTTTAATTAAACTTGCGTCCGCTCGCAAAGAACCCGTAAATCGGTAAACATCAAACACTGTAATTTCAATCGGCATATTCAGGACAAGAAGTCGGCAATATAATCTCACGGCGAAGACTCGTTATTGCACCATTTTTGCGTTTTCCTTCTTTGCTATCTAGCTGGCGTTATTTGTGCCGACTCACTGGTGATATTCCGATAATCTGAATGCAACAATCTTTAATTGTTTACAGTCGTGCCTTGCTTCATTTTAAATTAAATGATTTTTCGCGACCTACGAGTTTTCCAAAAAAATGATGCACGTAAACCAAAAGTCAGGCGTTAAATGTTATAACATTACTTGCGATCAAATATTATTTACTAATAATTTTATTATACCATTTTCCGAAATACAAAGTTATATCGCAAAACGCGAACATCTGTCACATTTAAATTTCACTCTCAAAAGATTACATATTTTTCAGTCCGTTTCTATCGTTCAAGATAGACGCACGTTTGATCGAGTGTCTGTAGTATTTTAGTCGCCGATAAATTTTGAAAAAAGTTGCCGCATCTGGCGAAGATAGTGACGTATTGAAATTGAGTAGGGCTAAGTCTGGGTAGATAATGATTAATGATAACATTTCTATCGTTCAAGATAGACGCACGTTTGATCGAAAGTCTGTAGCATTTTAAACGGCGATGAACTTTGAAAAAAGTTGCCGCATCTGGCGAAGATAGTGACGTATCGAATTTTAGTAGGGCCAAGTCTGGGTAGATAATGATATGTAACGATAATCATAGAAAATGATTTCGTCTTTAGATGTTATTACCTAATAACTAAGTACGAAATCGCGTTTACGGGAACTTGGTTTAACGTGTCTTGCTCGCACAGAATAAAAAGTTGATTTTAATTGATAGTGGTTAAATTTAATATTTTACAAGGGCGCCTAGGTTGCGGTGGCCACACGCTGGTTCTGCATCTTATTAGTTCTCAGCGGGTATGTTTTAGTACACTCGACAGACTTGACATAACGCCGTTTCATGTCTATTTTGTATTTAACCGCTTACTATTAAAGTGTGTAAAGCGTGTCTTAGTTTAACATATCAGTATTTATTAGTATTTAGGGATTACATACATTTGGAAAAATTGAGGGCAAAAAATATTGTAATATTCTTAAATTTTATTGTCCTGGGAACTGCCTGTTTAGTATCAAATGAAATCCAATGTTCAGGACATTTCCAAATAAATAATACATTTATAGTAAGTAATGCATTGCAATTTTTTTACATCTAAATCCAGCAAGGTGGGAATTCCCACTATTTGTATAACTATGAAAATAGAATAGGATTCGGTATTCTGGATTCAATTTAACTATTCTAGAATAGTAAATTATTCTACATTGCCCATCCCTAGTCTAGCAAGTGATACTGTTATGTCTTATTTTGATCCTAAGCTTTGTACTGAAATTATTGTAGATGCATCCCCAGTTGGACTTGGTTGTGTTTTAGTCCAGAAAGAATCTGACATTGATAATGAATATGTCCGTGTGATTGCGTATGCATCTAGATTGTTGAGTGATGTGGAAAGTCGTTCCCAGATTGAGAGAGAAGCTCTTGCTGTGTGCTGGGCTATAGAACGTTTTCATCTCTATCTGTATGGTGTGAATTTTACTGTTGTTACTGATCATAAACCCTTAGTGAGTGTTTTCTAGTGTGATTGCTAAACCTTCTGCCAGAATTGAGCGTTGGTGTTTGCGATTACAACAGTACACCTTTAATATTGTACATCGTCCAGGGAAAACTAACCCTGCTGACTACATGTCAATGCATCCCATTGAAATGCAAAATGTACATTCTGATAAAGTCACAGAAGAATATGTGAATTATGTATGCGAGAATACATGTCCCAAAGCTATCAAACTATGTGAAATAAAAAGTGCTTCTGAAAATGATAGTGTGATACAGAATGTGATAAAATGCTTGCAAAATAACTTATGGTATAAGTATAAAGATTGTGAAGAAATGTCCATTTTTGCCAAAATTGCCAGTGAACGAGGTAATCGAATTGTTATTCCAGTATGTTTGAGACGTAAAATTGTTGACATTGCTCATGAGGGACATATGGGTATGAGTAAAACAAAATCTTTGTTAACAGAAAAGATATGGTTTCCTGGTATGGATGCTATGGTAGAAAATGTGGTGAAAAGCTGTGCTGCTTGTGCTTCTGTTGTGAAAGATGAGAGAATGCTCCCTCTAAGCATGAGTGAGTTGCCACAAAAAGCTTGGCAAGCTGTTAGTTGTGAATTTTCTGGTCTATATCCCAGTAGAGACTATTGTCTTGTTGTTATTGATGAATACTCTCGTTTTCCTGTTGTTGAAATTGTAAAAGCTACGTCTAATTTTTATGTCATTCCTGTTCTTGATAAAATATTTTCAATGCTAGGTTTTCCTGAAGTTGTGAAAACTGATAATGGTCCTCCTTGGCAAAGTTATCAATTCAGACGTTTTATGGAACTGTGTGGCATACGTCATAGAAAGATAACTCCCTTGTGGCCTAGAGCTAATGCCCAGTCCGAAAATTTTATGAAACCTTTGGGTAAGGCTATCAAAACTGCTACGGTTGAAGGCAAGTTTTGGAAGCAGGAAATGTATAAATTTTTGAGAAATTATGGAGCATGCCCCCATGTTACAACAGGTAGACCACCTGCTGAATTATCGTATGGTACTAATATTAAAGTCCTATTGCCTGAAGTTATTGTTCCTACTGTTGATAATGATTTACGTGATCGTGATTGTTTTCATAAGGCTAAACAGAAAATGTATGCTGACGCAAGAAATTGTTTAAAGCCGACTGAACAAATTCATGTTGGTGACTCCGTGATCATGAGACAAAATAGAAGCAATAAGCTTTCTTCAGCATATAGACCTGAGCCTATGGATGTTATAAATGTAAAAGGTTCTATGATTACTGCACAAAGTCCCAATATTGGCAGTAAAACTAGAAATGCTTCTCTATTTAAAAAAGTGAATGATTGTACCTTTCGCAAGCGTTTTACAAATATCACTGGTGCTGATGTTTTACATGATAATGATATTTCTGACGATACTGCTAATTTGAATGTTGATAATGAAACAGCAGATCCTATTGCTGAAAGTCCACCTTCTGTTCCAAGTGTTAGAGATCGTCCTAGAAGATGTCCAAAAGTGCCAAGTAGATTTAAAGATTTTCATATGGGACGAATTACAGTATTGACTGCTTAACTGTATTTTGAAACTAATGTGTACTGTGTTTTGCATTGTATTTCATGAAGTTGATATCAATATTTATCTGTGTGAAGACTTGAACTAAAAGTTTGTGTGCTGAATCCTAAAATTTTGATATCAAGTCTTCATATGGTTTGTCGTCCATCGATGTCAACTTTTTTATTTTTTTTATTAAGGTTTGGAGGGATGTAATATAGTGACCTTTGACCCGTGTCCGTTCATGTCTGAAGGTGACTTCTAAGTTCTGTACTTATCACGTGTACTGTGTTACATTAGCTGTTATGAGTTGGTACTGTGTGCATTAACTGTTTTAAGTTTATCTATCTGGAATGTGTTCTGTTTCGAATGTGAATAAAGTTTACAAATGCAATATAGTTGTGCGTGTATACACACCACCTTACACCATTTCCGTCGTGTTGTTGTACCGAATCGAATAAGTCCGCTGTTATAAGGGCTAGAATAAAACCGGAGGGTGGATTTTGAACTTTAAGATATATGCCATCTAAATATATAACGCAATTAAGAATAAAAAAAACTATCTAATGCGTTAAATTCGACCACAGACACAGCGTAGAACCATTTTTGGTCAATTTTTCGTATTTATAGTGATACGCCAATTTGGGGCTGTAATATGTCTCCGCAACAATCCTACAATGTCATTTGTTTCTCTAGCGCAGCTTGGAGTTGAGCAGTAGGGCATTATGGGGCTTGACAGACCAAAAAATAGAAACGGCCATTGAAGCGAAGTTGGGTCGGCCGGTAATTTCAACGAATAAATACAACTTTTCATCTGTGACGTCATAACGAACGCCATTGTCAAATGGTTAATTATAACGATTAGAATGGCCAATTTACTTCGGAAGCAACTCGGATAAGTCCGCTGTTATAAGGGCTAGAATAAAACCGGAGGGTGGATTTTGAACTATAAATGTAATTTGACCAACACGAACGGATATAAGCATGTACGGCTAAGATATCGACTTCAAAACGCGACCTTCAAATTTTTTCTACTTAAAATATTAAGGAAAATAATAGGTATGTTTCAATAATTGTGTGCGAACTTCTCATAAGGCGCCGTGTTAAATTGCCGAGAACAATAGGCACAAGATGGCGTCCATTGTCTGAACGTTGCCTCGCTTATATTATATATACGCTTTGGTTCGGGCGTGTTGAAGTATTTTAGAAAATCTGATTCCGTTGTTAAACATCATATATGTGACAAATTATCAGTGTTCGATGTGCAAATTTTACTTCGAGGTATATATCATAAAGAAAAACGGCATCAACTGCGCAATCGTGAACAATATATTTCGAAATCGACCGAAAACTGATTCTGAATTCATCATTGTCAAATTTCCATAATCAGCAATCTTGGCACTTCCATTATTTTTCCCATTTATTGAGTCCTTACCCACACAGTTAGTAATATTCTTTTTAATTAAATGCCACAAGAGATAAATTTGCGATGACGTAATCATATTTGAAGAAATTGTACGGTATGAAAATGATTTGTACCTGAGATGTCAGTTAACGGTTAAAATAAATGGTAACCGTTAACCATCTGAAATCGGTTTTAATCATTCCCAGCCCTAATTATAAACCCTAAAATAACACTCTCAAAAAACCAGCCAGAAACTTCCAGAACCCTGCAGCGTGCGCGGTCCCCTGACGTCACTTCCACAAAGTCATTGTGGTGCAATAACCAAGCATTCGATAAGCTGGTTCATGGCGCTAACTTGCGGGAGAAATAATTATACTTCAAGATATTGGCGGTAACAATCATCAATTGCCATGAGGTATTGTTTCCCTAGTTAGCAGATAATCTGTTAGTAAGTGTGAAAAGTTGAATAACTAAAGTTTAACACCAGTGCTCATGCAAAAAATAACCAGAATTCGCCATCTAGGAATGCGCTCGCCACCGCATCTCTGATCACCCTGGTAGTTTCACAGGTTCCAATCCCATGCGGGGATAGTTATGTGCGAGAGGATTGCAGCTCTCCTCCAACTGAGCGTGGTTCATACGACCGCTGGTCGGTTACGACAGCTCCCACCATCAAGTCCATGCTGTAGGAAATGTTTGCATGCTTTTTAGGGAACCTTAAGTCCTTCACTTCAAGCACCGTTAGTCACGCTTTATGATTTTACATTGCCCATCTTTACTGTGACGTAATAGTCACTTAATCCCCCGCGCTTACGGCTTTCTAGAACTTTCCTTGCCACGAGGTAGACGCTTGTTGCGCTTTGCTTATAGGGAGGATTCTGCGCGACTGCAGATTTTATAGTTTATAGGTTTTACTATTTTCTGGTTATAGTACTAAATGATTATCTGGTAGGAATTCTAGAATTGATATGATTATGTTTATCCATATATTGTCCAATATGTTGTGAGGATTGCTGTATTTTGTTGTATCGAATATGTCGCTTATTGTTTTTATTTGTATTATAGCATACTTATGGCTGTTCTTTGAGTCCTTGTCAAAAACAGTCAATTTATCACCGACACTAATACTGTAATAGACTGATATCACTGACGTCAACACTAGATGTGTTTAAACAAGATAATAAAGTTTCTTTCAACACAAGTCTACGGGATTGTTGGTGTACCGGTTGCAGTATGTGTTGGTCAGTTGGTGCATAGATTGAAGACATTATTTGGGACCCAAGGGACAGGACGCGTCTCCAGTTCCCTGTATCTTGGAGTCGCAGTGGGACACATTAGGTACCGTACCCTACGCGTACTTATCCCACACATGCTTCTGAAAACAAATAACTGGCTAACTAATCTCGACATAGAATGGTAATCGTACGACGTTGCACCTGCAATCCCCCCCCCCCTCAGATGAATCCTATCCTAAAACTATCGTTATTGGTAGGCATATTTGCGTTTAAAATTGAAAGAAATCTTCATCAATGGTCAGAAGGTGTTGTCTGATTGTTTCGTTAGTTACCAGGTAATCTATTACTGATCTGATACACAAACGTGGCACTGTCAAATGATGATTAGTGTGTAATTTCTTTTCAGGAAAACGCAAAGATAACCCATTATCAGCTGATTATGTCCCATCAATATTTGAATTTTCGCCATCCCCAGAGAGGAAATAAGTAGTTAGAAAAAGGTGGATTTCGAAACAAGGCAAAAGGCAGGACCATTTCAACAAATTCTGTTAACTTGTATGCGTTGCAATTATTGCGACATCTAGGCTCAGGTCACATGACCTGTGACGCGCTGCCACGTTCTGGCTTTTTGGAATACCAAATTCGACACTCGCTTCCTGACACTTGATCTTCGCACACTCGACTTCTGGCACTCAACTCGGGGATCTCTCGCGACTAGGGCTGGGCATTTTCGAATACCTTGTGATTTCAGAATCGATTCGAATAATTTTTTCGAATCGAATCTCGAATACTTGAAAATATATAATTGTAAGCGACTTTATTATATTAATTGGTCCTCTCAACAAATGAATTACTGAAGACATAGAATGATTCACTCAGATAGATTACTGAGCGTTCATACAGAATAACAAACACGTTTTATCAATAACTCACTACAGAAAATAGTCAAATGTTAGAATTCCGTTGAAAAAATATGACTCAAATGAAAAAAAAATTGGGGAATTCACCTCGACCATTAGCGGAAAGATAAAAACAAGATGGCGGCGATTCGAAATTTAGCTCTGGACCGATTCGAATAATTTACTATTCGATTCGAAATGCCCAGCCCTACTCGCGACACGCACCTACTGCTACTCCAAGCATCTGCTTCATTTTTGAGTTAAGTTATTTTACTGATTTGATATCTATTTTATGCTTTTATAACATCGTTTTTATAATACAACATACAACAAGGAACTTACTCGTTTTAATCAGAGGCTTGGAAGCGGACAGGAATTAGGAAGTCTTGTCTCGGCACGCGGAGTCTAAGGCAATAGCAAGAACCCCATAGAAAGTTGGTGATCCCGACGTGTAGAATTCAACTTCAAGTCTCAAACTCAGACAAACCTCAACCTCAGGAATCAAGAAAACGGATTTAAGGTTTTTGAAGATTTTAATCCTGAAACAGACTGATTTTATCAATTTTAAGACTTTTATATTAGCTTTTAAAGGACTATTTTATCGACCATTTCATCGCGTGCGTTTTTAGCCATTGTTTTTATTTACGTTGTCATTATTAGATGCAACGTAATTTTACTCGAAGACAATTTTCATTCGAAAGCAGACTCGCTTGGTTTTAATTGATAATAATAGCAACGCATTACCAGAACGTGCGATGAATCAGTCTGAGCCACATAGATGTAGGTAGCACACCAAATGCCGGCTCGCTCAACGATAATGTTGGTCAGGTCCGTCCACAGTTTATTTATCAACCGCGTCCATCACTTCAAATAAATGAGTTTTGGTCTCATTCTCCTGACTCGTGGTTCACGTCGACCGAAGCAGGATTCCGCATCGTAGGGATAAACGATGATGTGGACAAATATTGTTATATTATTCGGTGCCTGAACGACCGCCAATTGGAAACTATACGTTCTCGCCTCCCGGGCGAGCTTCATCCCAGTTGCTATCGACTTTTGCGGGAACTTCTGATCAATACTTACTCCGTCCCGCTTAGACAGCGCATACGAGATATATACAACGGCGGATGCTCAAATTTTAAACCGTCCGAAATTTTAAGAAAGTTACGCAGTTCCGTTTGTCCAAATGACGCTCCAAACACCAACCAGGAATTTTTGAAGGAGATGTTCTTTCAGCAACTACCCCCAGATATTGTTTCAGCTCTTTCTGCCCATCCGGATGATTCCATAGATAAATTAGCCTATCGTGCTGGCAGTATATTCTCCAGACGTACGTTACAACCGGCCAATCACAATTCTTTTAAGAATCATGCATCAAACCCTGATTGTAGCGCCGACAACAATAAATATTCTTCCGATGTCGAAGTTAGCTCAATGGTGTCGAAGTTAGCTAGTGAACTTGGTAATCTTCGGAAGGATCTTGACGTGTTAATGCATAACCCTACACATTGGTCTTCGGAAGCTGCACCCCGTACTTCCCTTAGCTCTAATGCGTTAACTCAACATCCTGTACATGTCAGAAACGGAGAGCGCACGAGTCTTGTGAATCCATCGAGAGCCCTTATGCAAAATCATCAATCATCATCTAGTAATGGCAGAGGTTACAACGCCAACTATCAGAAACCACGATCCAATACTCCAACGGCTTGCTGGTATCATCAACGTTATGGAAACCTAGCACGTAATTGCGTCCAGCTTTCCCAGATAACACAACTACGTCGGAACAACCATGGCCGAACGTTGTTCGAACCACCGGCCCAATAATGGCGAACAACCATGTTCCAGCGAAGATTTGGCCGCTGGGCCAACGTCGGTCCTTTCGCTGTATTGCAACCGTGGCAAACGGTCGGGCCAACGTAGGCGATACGTTGTAACACAATCGTGAAATATGGCCGGTCCAACGTGGGCAATACGTTGTAACACAATCGTGACATATGGCCGGTCCAACGTGGGCGATACGTTGTAACACAATCGTGACATATGGCCGGGCCTACGTAGGTGACACGGTGTAATACAATCGTGGCACATGGTCGGGCCAAGTTAGGCGATGTGTTGTACAGACAGGGTATGGATCTATACTACATAGAAATTTCCCACTAATCTAACATTATTTATATAATAAAAAACAAAAGATAACAAAATGTCTTTATTTTACAAATATGTATACATGTAATAAAATTAATCGGAGTTCGTTGCCAGATCATCCAGAGCTGAAAAATATAAAAATTCTGTGTTAAATTGCAGTATTAGCAAATTACAGTTGTATTAATGTTGTATTTTAATGTAATTTATCTGCAGTCTGTGATTTTACAAAAATTGGGGTCGCGGAAAAAAAAGTTTGGGAACCACCGCCGTAAAGTATATGTAATCAGCCTATAAAAGTATTCAACTTACGAGCCATTTTTTCATCCTTGAATGTATTCTGGATCAAAATGTAATCAGACAATGAATTTCATCAATTCCTGTATGTCCGAGTCCACACTATAATCAGTGGAAAGTTGCAGATGCTGTAGCTTGTAGCATAAGAGTTTCTACCGCCTGTCCCAACAATTTTTCCATGGACTGGATTGGAGCATGGCTTGATCTCTGAAAATCAAGTTAGTGTTACACAATATATAGTACATGATTGTCTTTCAGATGATAAACGTGAACGAATGGCCTATACTAATTACCAGAATATAAATTTTTCATTAATATTAATTACCGTATTTTCCGGCGAATAAGTCTACCCGGCGAATAAGACGAGGCCTGTTTTTAAGCCTGAAAAAATGGGTTTTTGCATATAACCGGCCGATAAGTCGGGGTAGTAAAATCGCATCAACGTCGGGAATCTCAAATTACCATGCAATGCCTTTCGAGCGGTCGCCGCGTTTGCGCATTGGTTAAAATAGCCTATGACTTTTTTTTGTAGCATAATATTCAGTCCATATATGATAATGCAAATATGATAATCACAGCATTGAAATTTCAGATTCACAGCACAAGAATGTCGATTTATTTAAACTAACCTGATGAGGACGTGGGGCATGCTATCGCCGAAGGTATTTTATTGTCCGGATTCAATAATAAGGCGACAAAAAAATGAAAATGATCATACTCGCCTAATAAGACGACCCCCCCCCAAAAAAATCAGGCCAAAAATTTGGGTCTAGAAAAGCGACTTATTCGCCGGAAAATACGGTATTAACCACATGATGTTGTACTAGGTAATTATTCAACCGATATATCTAGCTATTGTGCAATATTTTATGGCACAGATATGCAAGGAGCTACTATCAAACTATAAAACAGAAACACCTGTTTTGGGCATTGTCCGCATTGAAACATTGAGATGCTTGAAATGACACAGTATATGATTGCGTGAAAGAGGGAATTGAAGCAGTTGAATTTTCCAGTCCATTGTCATAGGGCCTATTATAAAAATGGTATATATCATTAAACTTACAATGGTAATATTGACACTTGACAGAATATCTAATCGGTACTAATTATTTAGAATAACCGGAAAAAAATGGATATTACACATAATATGTCCAAATATTTGTAAAGGATGTGTCGTACAATACTTCATGTTTATAGAGTCGCTGGGCATTGCACAGTTGCATGCACATTTGGCAGTCATTGTACAGAGATGGGCTTCCCCTCAATCGCCCGAATCTTTTTTGCTAGCGGTCTACTTTCCAATTCACTTTAAAATATAATAACACTTAATTAAGGTTGGTTGGGTAAGCTTACATAGCATACATACTGAAAATAAATCATATTAATATGATTACCCAATATAATTCTATTGAATTTTAAAACAAAATAGATATTATTCAAAAATCAGTAATTTTTTCTCAACAAAGCTGAAAATATGAACTAGAGCAGGGTTGGGCAAAGTTCTCGGACCACGTGCAAAAATTTTGCGCACCTAGACTGGCGGGCCATGTCGCATTTCGCATGTGTGGCGTAAAAAGTTATACTTCAGAAACAAAATTTTATTTAAAAAACAAAAAGGGAAAAAAATAATCCTTGAGCTATTTTTTACCCAAAAACATCAAATTTTAGTTTCAGTTTGATTGTGGCAATTGTTAAAACATATTTTAGATTTCAGCCAATTGAGATCTGTATTTAGATTTGTTGAAATTCATCGGACAGAAGGTTCACAAATGTACAACTATTCAGATTACTGGATTACAGGATTAAGTCATTCAATGGGTTGGATTTGGGCTGCGGAAATGTTTGCACTTAGACAAATAAAGTAAATATAAAAAATCATATCCAGGGATGAAGGACCAATACCGGTATCGGTACCGGTACTCGATTACGAATACTGGTAAATAAGAGATGGCAACCTCAGAAAGTTTAACAAAAAAATGCCAAAAGACCAAGTACGGTAACTTACGGTACCGGTACCTCATCTCGTTCTGTCGTTACCGGTACCTACGGTGTCCAGGGATGAATATGTAACTTTTACCGGTATGTACCATAGGTACCGGTACTCGATAACGAATACTGGTAAATGAGAGATGGCAACCTAAGAAAGTTTAACAAAAAAATGCCAAAAGACCAAGTACGGTACCGGACCTCATCTCGTTCTGTCGTTACCGGTACCTACGGTGTCCAGGGATAAATATGTAACTTTTACCGGTATGGTACGGTACCCTATCACCCTTATGAACCGTGACCTGACAACGCACTTAGGGTACCGGTACCATGAGATTAACTTACACGGTTACAACTAGGCTATCTCTACTTTCGCCATTCTACTATGAAAGCATTAAAAGTTCAATGTCACTGTCCCATAGCCTACACGGCAAAAACCTCGTAACAGGCTATCGATTACGAGTACCGCCAAAATGAATGGCGACCTCATGTGCTATATTCGAATCGCGCGCCCATTTCTTCGCATAATGGCGTGTTTCGTTGAAGGCCAATCATGGCCTTACCATGGTAAATGGTTGTAAAACCGCGTACAACGGTTGCCGGCGGATTATAACGTTGGCCCAACGTAGTTGTGCTATCTGGGTTGTACCTTTTTCCAGCTGGAGTCCTTTTTTCGCCTAGGGCGCTGTAAAAGATCTTCACAGCGCCATATAAATTCACTTAATAGACTCAATTCCAATTCTCCAAACACATCTTCTCTACGTCTTCGATATAAAAAGCGGCCGACAATTTATGGTTGATACTGGTGCAACAGTTTCCTTAATTCCTCCACATTGGAAACGTCACAACCATCCTCGATCAGACCGAAAGCTGTATGCCGCCAACGGTACACCTATACCATGGTATGGCCAACGAGATGTGTCAATTGCATTAGATAACGGTATCGAATATGCCTGCCAATTTCAAATAGCTCGTGTTTCTTAACTGTTATTAGGAGCCGATTTTTTGTCACAACATAATCTTGTGGTTGACTTACGCAACTCGCGTCTCTTCGATCCTAATTCAAACACCTATATATATGGCAAATTGGCAAATCAATAGCAGCCAACTTCATCTCACCGAGACATCAAGGCCACTACGCCCATTTGTTGAAAGAATTCGAAGATCTGACAATCCCTTGACATGCATCTGTTAGGGCGAAGCATAACACAATCCACCGTATTATTACAACCGACCAACCAGTGCATTCTAAGGCTAGACCTCCTCCACCCCATTTACGCCAAAAAGTCAGAGACCAGCTTGACAGACTTATTGAATCAGGAAACACAGTTCCTCCCAACTCTCCTATCACAGTTGTACCAAAAAAGGATAGCAATGAGGTCCGAATATGCGTCGACTATAGATCCCTTAACAATCAGACGATAAAAGACAGATGGCCAATTCCTCACATGCGCGATTTTACCAATGAATTACATGGTTGCCACTATTTTAGTAAATGTGACCTTTCGAAAGCATATCATCAAATACCTCTTCACCAATCTGATAGGAAGAAAGCTGCCTTCGTCTGCCCTGAAGGATTGTTTGAACCAGTAACTTTACCATTTGGTCTGTGCAATGCCTGTTCATCATTTTCTCGTTTTCTGTCGGAAGTAACTTCCGGTTTGAAAAATATATTCGTATTCCTCGACGACATATTAATTGCAACCGAAACTGAAGGACAACATCGCCAAGCACTAAGGCATTTATTCTTACGCCTACGAAGATACGGACTTGTCTTGAATGTTGATAAATGTGAGTTCGGCAAACAAGAGCCTGATTTTTTAGGCCATCCCGTAACACCAAAGGGTATCTATCCACTATCTTCAAAGGTTGAAGCAATCAACAAGTTTCCTTTACCAAATACTTCAAAAGAACTCCGATCTTTTCTTGGTCTAGTATGTTACTATCACCGCTTTGTCAAGAACTGCGCGACCATATTAAAGCCACTGCATGATCTAGCCTCACACAGTAAGAATAGACGACAGTCACTCAAATGGACTCCTGAGACACTGCAGTCTTTCGAAGGGATTAAATCAGAACTAGCATCTGAAATAATGCTTGTCCATCCAAATCATACCGCAACTCTCTTTACTTATCGACGCCAGCCAAGTGGCCATGGGTGCCGTCCTTCAACAATGTGTTGGCGGCGAATGGTCACCTCTCGGATTTTTTCCAATTCACTCAATTTAGCACAAAGCAACTATTCCGCATTTGATCGCGAGCTTTTAGCAGCCTATTCCGCAATACGCCATTTTAGCACACAGCTGAAAGGACGGAAATTTCAACTTGTGACAGATAACGATGCTCTTGTCAAAGCCATAGAAAATCCTACTGAAAGATTTGTTTCTAGACAGGCACGGCATTTGGAGTTAATTTCCGAATACTGATGACGTCAGACATTTGAAAGGCTCACTTAATACTGTCGCGGACACATTATCACGTATTCAAATTAATTCAATTCATCCCAACATCAACGTCAATAGCATTTTTCAGCCTCCATCGTCAATTGCTTTGCATGAACTTCACGCCGCTCAACAAAACGATCAAGAACTTATCGAATACAAACGGGATCCTGAGAAGCATTCTCTTGAATTAGTAGATGTTCCCATCGCAGGTCTAAGCGGAACATTAGTATTCGATACATCAGCAGCTAATAAATTGAGGCCATTTGTACCCAAATCGTTACGCAAGAAACTATTTGACAATATTCATAGTTTAACTCATCCTGGTGCCAGAGGCTCAACTGATCTAATTTCATCACGCTACGTGTGGCCCGGAATGGCTAGAAACATTAAGCAATGGGTTCGCGAATGCGCTCAATGCCAGATTTCAAAAGTGCAACGTCATACACGTACCCAGATGACAAATATCAATGTGCCATGCGATAGATTCAACACTGTCAACGTTGATATATCAGGTCCACTCGGATTAAGCAGAGGCTACAATTACATTCTCATGTGTGTAGATCGTTTCTCACTTGGTTAGAATGCATCCCATTGTCTGATATTTCCGCTGAAAGTGTTGCCAATGGATTTGTATTTGGCTGGGTATCACGATTTGGAGCACCAAAGAGGATCATCACAAATTGTGGGAAGCAATTCAAATGCAAGCTTTGGTCGGATCTAATGAATTTTCTTGGCACCGACCATTCTACAACTCTTCCTTACTCGCCACATATGAATAGTTTAGTGGAACGCGCATATCGTACGCTTAAAAATGCTCTTCGCGCTATGGAGAATCCTGAAGACTGGTATGACAATTTAGGATTTGTATTGCTCGGCATTAGAAGTGTCATCAAAGAAGATTTAGGTTTGTCCTCGGCAGAAATTCTGTACGGAACACATCTTCGGCTTCCTGGTGAGCTCGTAGACCCTCGTCCAAATCAAACTACAATCGAACCGTATAATTATGTCAACAAGATGCGCAGATTTTTTAACAAACTACATAGCGTGCCTACTCGAGAGCAGCCGCCTAACCGAGTTTATATTCCTTAAGAACTCAATAATGCAACACATGTCTACATTCGTGTCGATTCCACAAGAAGAGCACTTCAGCCCGTCTATACTGGACCACATAGGGTAATTTCAAGGTCCAATAAGTATTTTACGGTCGAATACAAAGGAAATCCTTACGACGTATCAACCGACCGCGTAAAACCAGCATTCCTTCCTTTTTGTGACGTCGAGACTACAACTGTCAAATGTCACCCTTCTCCACTGAAGCCTCAGTCAAAACCTGATAGCGAACCAAGAGAAAACCCTCCCATTTTAAACGCACCAACACAAAACAGCCTTACTCGACGTGGACGGGTAATTCGCACACCACGGCAATTAGACAATTTTCTGCTGGCACCTATTTTTGAAAAAAACATTTAGGTCAATAGCGTAACTTTTTACTTTCTTGTGTATATATGTATAGCCCCATAAAGCGTAACACCACATTGTATGATCTGTTTGTTCGTCGTGATCATTTTTTTCTCACTTTCGCGTATTTTATTGGCTCTTCCCACCGGTTGATTTTGTCTAATGATTTAATACGTCTGTCGGCCCAAAGTTTTGTCACTACCTTATCCGATTTGACACATGTATTTATCACCGTTTGCTATTCCCACTTCACCTATCTCAAAATTTCTGAATATCATGCGACTCTTTCCATGTCAGCACCCCAAAATGCTTTTAAGACATGATCGAGTAAAGTATTATTTGTCGTCTTTTCATTTTTTTACAGCTCTGTAAAGTGGATATTCCTTGGAATATTCCATACATGTTTCTGTGTTTTTACTTTTTATCTTTTTTTTTTCCATTGTCCTGTGCTGTTTTTGTTGCCGGTTGCAATAGTTTCATGATTAATGAGAATATTTTGTTGTTCAGCTCTGTCATGTTTGCACTCTCAATTTTAAATAACCAGCAGGCATATCCCTTATCTCCACGTCAATCAAGTGCGTCAAATGGTGAAATTCAGGAATTAGGAAGCCTTGTCTCGGCACGCGGAGTCTAGGGCAATAGCAAGAACCCTATACAATATCACTTTGCAGTTGTTAGCATAAACATTTAATGTGTCTTTCGACTAGACTTACCACACTTTTAAAGAAGCCGCCTAAACCCATTTTCACTAGAAGAACCATAACACTGTAAAATATTTGATAAAAATTACCCCTCAGCTCAAGGCATCATATCTTACATTTGAAAAGGCTGTGGAGGCAGATACATTTTTTACTCTAAATTATGGAATGTTACTTCCAGGTTATCTTGCTTATAGATATCTTGATGTTAGTGACTCCAACTGATCCATGCATGTCACACTGGAAATTCCCACGTGTACCGATAAAATTAAGCAGTTGGAGCCTTCAGACCTTGAAAACAGTCAAATCTGAGCAAGATGGATTCATGTGAAACACGTAATATGCATTTATAAGCAAAAATATCCCATCCTGATCAGCACCGATCCACAACCTCCTGCCTATGGAATCAAAACATTAGACAAATTGGTGTACTGTGAGCATTCACAAATCTTTGGGAATTAAGTGTGCCTTTTGACTAAGGAAAATTTAGCATTGAAATGGTCAACCTCAATATAAACCTGGTATCTGCAGATAAAACCTATTGTTTTTTTAAAATAAATTTATTTTTCAAAAATGATTTATAATTACTGTAAAGTGTGTGATACATTTGGCACCCCTCTCAAATAAAAATTTAGACTTTTAATTCATATCTTATAATATTCTTTGAACAAAAGGTTGCGGCTAGCCGGCTACCCATCAGGATTTTTTTTCAGATCACAAAGTCGCAATATTACGCCTCGCTAAGTTTCATTTGCAATTGTATTTAGTTGTGGTATCGGTGTCCAAATTTAGACTGAAACCTTCACTACCAGACCCACCGAAACAAACAAAAAATTCTTGATGGGGCCATATTAAAGTTGTTTTCGTTCAAGCACAATAGACAATTTATCTCCACCAATCCACAATAATCACAAGTTACTTTGTCATTACGATAAGCACCAATAAATGGATACAGAGGATTTATTATCAAGTCACGCAAGCTGAGGTCTTGTTGCAACTTATACTTTGCCATTCATCTATTTTATTCCATGGTCGCATCTACATCTGTAAGATAATAGATACAGATTCATTCGATATCATGATCCTGCACTAGCTATGTAATATTTGTAGAGTTTTCATAAAATCTAACACTCAAGTTGTAAAATTTATGTCTATATCCCACCACAAACACTAGTGGTAAATGAATTTGATTCCGGGTAGCATATCTTTTTTTACCAATGACGATAAAAAGACATTTTGGGTCAGTTGTACAAGCACCTTTAGGATAGGAATTTTCTGCGGGGGGCACTGGGGGGAGGTGGGCTGCAATCTTCTCGCACACAACTATCCCCGCATGGGATTGGAACCTGTGAAATTACCAGGGTGATCAGAGATGGGTGGCGAGCGTATTCCTAAATGGCGAATTCAATTGAATTCTGGTTATTTTTTGCATGGCCACTGGCGTTAAACTTTAGTTATTGTCGTGTCCCTTATTATATTGGAGGCAAATAGACACGTTGTTCGTATGAATGGAATAGTCTTTAATGTTAGCAGCAAAACAGTACCATCAGGTAAACAACAAGAGAGCTATGCTCAAATATATGGACACGTAGAGTCACATAAATTTGATGACGTCATAGCAACCAAAAAAGTGATAGCCTTCTGGAGAAAATTTTTATCTTTAACCACTAAAAATTTCAAAGCAATTGGTCCATATTTCGAAGAGAAAAGCGACTTTTTAAAAACGTGTCAAGCGGACTGAGTTAGCAGTCAGGCAGCATCTTTACCTGTACACTGTAGGCCATATACGGTAATTGATCACAGAACAGTTGTTCCCTTGCAAATTTTATGTTGTTTACACTTTAGGACAGATAATTGATCACAGAACAATTCTTCCCTTTCAAATTTTATGTTGTTTTCCAGTAGACTCTCATCCAAAATAAACAAATATAGTAGGCTACAAGTGCTACAACGCTTGCATTACTGCACTGGTAGGACCGTGAAAGAATAAGTTACGGTAATTTCATTGTGGTAAGACACCGGTACCGGCACCAGTATCGTACTTACGTACTGAGCTACCAGTACCGGTTAGCAGTCAGCCAGCATCTTACCTGTACACTGTAGGCCATATACGGTAATTGATCACAGAACAGTTGTTCCCTTGCAAATTTTATGTTGTTTACACTTCAGGACAGATAATTGATCACAGAACAATTCTTCCCTTTCAAATTTTATGTTGTTTTCAGTAGACTCTCATCAAAATAAACAAATATAGTAGGCTACAAGTGCTACAACGCTTGCATTACTGCACTGGTAGGACCGTGAAAGAATAAGTTACGGTAATTTCCTTGTGGTAAGACACCGGTACCGGCACCAGTACCAGTATCGTACTTACGTACTGAGCTACCAGTACCGGTACCGAACCTGTAGGTCTGATATTCCGTTCCGCATACGATAGGCTATAAAACTTGCATTGCAGCATTAGTAATACCGCGGAAGGAATAAGTCAATTTCACTGCGTTACGGCACCGGTATGGCAACTTACCAGAACCGACCTACAGTAGCTGAAGTACTGAGCAAGACAATCGATCGCGAAACCGCTTGAAATAAGTGTAAAACAGTGTTCCCATGAGTAAAAATAAATACCGCGAAATTTTGTATGAAATATCATATCTCATAGGATTCATATAAAATTTAAGAATAAACAAAAGTAATAGCCTTCTAGCGAAAAAATTAATCTTTAACCACTGAAAATTTCAAAGCAATTGGTCCAGTATTCGAAGAGAAAAGCGACTTTTTAAAAACGTGTCAAAGAACAAGAACAAGAACAACAACAACATAATATTGAAACGATCGTTATGTCCACTACGTGTCCAACAACCTACTCGAATCCCATTATTACGCGTCTGCGTCGAGTAGACCCGCTATTATTACGTCACAATACTAACATACACAACACCCCCCTTACTGGAAAGATATGTTTCTAAACATTATCAAAAAGTGAACATAAAACAATTTAAAGAAACTTGCACAATAACGATGTTATCACAATATGACCGCCTTCATAATTATTTACAAATTTAGTTTTTCTGGCGGTCTGGAAATTCGTCCAGATCTTTCTCCGTATTTTCTCGAACAGGCTCGTTCGGTTCAACCTGTACATCCGTTTTGATGGGAGATTGTGTTTCTTCGTCCGAAGTTGGTCTTTCTGGAACTTTCTTGAGATGTCGACGATTACGTCTCAACGTACCACTCGGTGTTAGGATCATATATGATCGTGGTATATCAGCATACCCAGTTATAACACCTTGCTCTTTTTGAAGACCATCTTTGATCCATGCATGATCACCAATCTGCAATTTTTCCATATTTTGAGCTCTGTGCCTTTTATCAAAATGCATCTTTTGTTTCATTTTATCGCCCAACTCTTTATTTTGCAATTCATCCATGTTAGGCTATTTTGGAATCAATTCACTTGAATAAACTGGTAACTTCGTTCTCAACTTTCTTCCCATGAGAAGTTCACTTGGGGAATAACCATTTTTCAAAGCTGTACTTCTATAATTCAGCAATGCCATGTATGGATCTTTTGTTCTTTTGAGCAGATTTTTAATAGTATGGACTGCACGCTCCGCCTCTCCGTTACAATGAGCATATCGAGGACTTGACGTTATATGACAAAATCCATATTCTTCTGCAAATTTGGAAAATTCTCCCGGAGCGTATTGTGGTCCATTGTCGGAAATTATCACTTCAGGTATTCCGTACTTTGCGAAAATTGACTTTAGATGATTGATTACTGTAAGCGACGTCGTATCCTGTAACAATGCAATCTCGATCCATCTGGAGAAATAATCAACAGGTAACAAATATTTTGAACCTTTCAACTCAAATAAATCCGTTGCAATCTTTTTCCATGGTCTATCAGGATATTCACTCGGAATTAATGGTTGAGTTTTGGTTTGTGAAAATTCACAACAAGAAGGACAGCTCTTACAAACTTCTTCCACTTGCTTGTTCATGTAAGGCCACCACACTGAAGATCTTGCGCGACGTCGGCATTTTACGATCCCCATATGTCCTTCATGTATTTTCTCCGGTTCCATTACATTTGAACCCACGTACATTTGAACCCATGACAATTGCACCTGTATGCTGTTGCACCTATGGAATTTTTTTTGTTTTTCGGATAGTTGAACCCATACTAACCCTAACCCATGGGTTTTAGCACCCGCATATAGATTGAACCCGTGGATATACGCATGGGTTCAAATGTACGTGGGTTCAAATGTACGGTCACCATTTTCTCCAAACTATCAAGTCGCAACGATGCTGGAATTACTAATCTGGTTCCGCGTAGCAACAATCCGTCAATTACAGTAAGATCACCGCGTACTTGGTAGTACGGCAACAATACGTCATTAAGCCTGGATTCATCCGTGCATACAAAAATTCATTATTTCTTTACAGACAATGTCCTCATTTAAATGTACACGAATTTGCTGCAAGCGCTTTTCTGATGCTGGGAACCCATCAATAACAGAACGAACATAAATATCGCTGTCTTCATTCAGCTGAATATCTTCTTCTCGCATGTCGTCCAGTGGTGCACGAGACACAGTGTCTGCTATTATCAAGTGCTTTCCTGGGATGTGAGAAATATCGAAGGAAAACCGCATCAATCTCATCCTAAATCTTTGAATTCGCCGAGGCAACTCATCTAGGCATTTCGTGCCGAATAAAGCAACTAGTGGTTTGTGGTCTGTGTTTATCATGAAATGCATTCCTGAAAAAATCTTGAAAACGCTCACACGCCCACGTAACTGCTAATGCCTCTTTTTCTACTTGCGCATATTTCTACTCTGTGGTGTTCATAGCGCGCGAAACAAACGCCACTGGTTTCCATTGTCCTTTAGAATTTTTCTGTTTCAGGGTGGCTCCTAAGCCGTAAGAACTTGCGTCTGCTGATACAATAGTTGCACTATTCGGGTTGTATAGCGACAAAACTTTCTTAGACAAGCATTCTTGCTTCACCCTCTGAAACGAATCAATTTGAGGTTGTTCCCATATCCATGAATTTTTTCTACTTAATAGGTCACGCAATGGTTTCGATATGTCAGCGAGGTTTCTAGAGAATCTTCCCAATTGATTAACCATTCCCAGAAAAGATCTCAGTTCGGAAACATTTGTGGAAGCTGGCATTTTGGAAATAGCCATGACCTTTTGAGGGTCAGGGTGAACACCTTCTGAATCTATCATAAAACCAAAAAACTTTAATTTTCGGCGGGAAAACTGACATTTATCGTTTAACGTAAGACCTACTTTTGCTATCTTTTTCAAAACAGCGTCAAGTCATTTGTCATGTTCCTCTTGGTTTCGTCCGTGAACCAAGACATCGTCCATTGAACACACTACGCCGTCAAGACCTATTAAAATATCGCACATCCTTCGGTGGAAGTGTTCAGGGGCACTAGAGGTTCCAAACGGGAGTCTTTCATAACAAAAACGTCCAATATGAGTCATAAATGTGGTCAATAAACGTGACTCTTTTGCAAGCTTGACTTGCCAAAATCCCGATTTTGCATCGAGTTCACCTGAACACTTCGAACCACTTAATGTCCCAAAATTTGTTCGGATGCTGGTAACGGATATTTTTCACGCTTGACTGCTTTATTTAGATGCGTCAAATCTGTACAAATGCGAACGCTACCATCCGGTTTTGGTACAACCACCATCCCTGCACACCAATCTGTAGGCTCGTTTACGCGGGAAATCACTCCGTCTTGTTCCATTTTCAACAGTAACTTTTTAACTTTTGACAAAAGGGGTAACTGTACACGTCTTGGTACGTTTATTGCGAATGAAACAGCATTTTTGTGCAATTCAATTTTATATTCGCCCTCAAGTTGTCCTAATCTGGAGGATAGCTTTGGATATTTCTTTTTGTATTTTTGATCCTCAGACGTGACGTCACCAACAAAATAAACAATGGCAAGAGATTTGATCGCAGGTCGACCTAATAACGGATATTTCAAATGCTTGCTAACATATATCTGTTTATCGCATGAACGATTTTTGTGTTGCAGCTTTACATTGAACTTGCCACTTACATCCAGGCATTTACCATAAGCTCCGAATAATTTTCTGTGACTTGGGGTCAATTTCACGTTTTTCATCTTTTTGAAATCATTTTCGGATATAACCGTAACATCGGCGCCAGTATCAACTTTAAAATTTATTTTGACATGCTTTACAAACAAATCTACCATCCACTTGTGTGATGATGATTCGCCGACATTCCCTAAAAATCCTTTATTTTCGTGCTTTTCGACATCTGAATCTGGAGAATCGACATCCCTATCGACGTGATCAACATTTGTGGCTCCATGGCACCATCTAGCGTAATGTCCAATTTTAGAACATTTGAAACATTTCACGTTTTCGCCGGACATTTTTCTCGACTGTGTTTGTCTGATTTACCACACCTGCCGCATCGATAATTATTGCTTTGCGACTTTTGCAAACCGTGTTTGTGCTTACCAAATTTCCTGTGAGATTTCACGGAATCAACAAAATCAGACCTTTTGGGAAGAAAGAATATCACCTTGTCGCAACATTGATTGCTGACGTTTTACTTGTTCGCTTTGCCGAACTTGTTTAATCGCCTTTTCTAGTGTCAAATCAGGGTCTAACTGTAGCCTTCCCGACAATTTTGCGTCTCGAATTCCTGCTACGATTCGGTCACGGATTAAGTCATCGTGCAAATCCCCAAACTGCAAATATTTCGCCATACTGTGGACTGCGGTAATAAATGAATCGACTGACTCATTTTCTCCCTGACAACGAAGGTTGAACCAGAGCCATTATATAACTAGTCTGGAAGCTCTCGCTTTTTTGCAGGATACCCAGTTGTTGACAGCGACATCTGGTGTTGGCGTGGGTTTTACACCCCTGTCGTCTGCTGGACAGCCGAATCAGGCAGTTTGATGCAGTAATGTGTGATTGTTTTCAGGCCATGTTTACACATTTCAAGTTGCGCGAAGTTGGCAAGATACAGAAAACTGAAATAAAAAGGCAAACTATTATTATTAAACTTAAATATAGACTGTATATGCAGAAAAGGTAGTTTAGAATCCTATCCTAAGCTACTAGTAACTCCGGTGGGGTCTCATGTACTTTCTTACCTGAATAACTTCTAGTGGGCGTGGCGTAACAATTTTTGGATATATGATTCCTGACCCCCACCTGATGACGTCATCCAAAAATTACGTCACTGCGACGTCACCATAACGAAATACAGCTTGCCAAAGTATAGCGACGGTCCCCCGTAATGGCGCCTACGAGTATGACAACAAACTCAATACGTCAGCGACCTCTCTCTTATCGGGGTCGTTGTACAGAGCTCAAAATAAACAAGAATCACAAGCGACTAAATTGTCGCCAAGGAACGTTCACGATATCCCATTCTGACCAATTTCTGTCCACAATAGCTCATGTATCGTGCTTACAATCTAAAATAGAGCGTTATACGATACAACTCTAACCAAGGCTTTAGACAAGCAGAAAATACATGTTATTTTACGCAATGGTTGAAGTTGGGTACCACACACATAAAGACTTATTATTTTATGTCCAGCAATAGCTCATGTATTGTGCTACGATCTATTAATAGGGGTGATATACGATACCGCTCTGAGCTAGGCTTTAGACAAACAGAAAGAACATTTAATTCCACGCCAATGATTGAGGTTAGGTGCCGCAGACATAAAGACTTGTTATTTAATATCCAGAGACTGATCATGTATTGGGCCACATTTTATTAATAGGACGTGGAACGCTTTCACTCTATGAAAGGCTTTAGACAAGCAGAAACCGACATATTAATTTGCCTTAGCGCAATGGATGTAGTTTCTTACCTCGATAACTTATACTTATCTTAGCGTAACAATTTTTACATATATCATTCCTGACCCTCACCTGACTTCGTCATCCAAAAATTACGTCAATGCGATGTCACAATAACGAAATCGAGCTTGGCCCCATAATAGCGACCATAATGCAATCGTGATAAATACGCCTGTGTGTCCGGTATGGGTGTAGTTTCGTACCTCAATAACTTCTAGTTAACTTAGCGTAACAATTTTTGCACATAATATTCCTGACCCTCACCTGATTTAATCATCAAAAAATTACGTCAATACGACGTCACAATAACGAAATAGAGCTTGCCTAATAATAGCGACGATTACTGGTAATGCCACCTATGGATGTAGTTTCTTACCTCAATAACTTTTAATTATCTTAGCGTAACAATTTTGCATATAATATTTCTGACCCTCACCTGACTTCATCATCCAAAATTACGTCAATGCGACTTCACAATAACGAAATAGAGCTTGCCTAATAATAGCGACCATAATGCAATTGTGTTAACTGCGCCTGTCTGTCCGCTATGGGTGTAGTTTCATACCTCAATACCTTCTATTAGGCTTAGCGTAACAATTTTTGTATATATGATTCCTGACCCTCACCTGACTTCGTCATCCAAAAATTACGTCACTGCAACGTCACAATCACGAAATAACGCTTGCCCAATAATAGCGACGATTACTAGTAATGACACTATAGGGAGAAAGAGATGAGATGGTTGATGATGGGATAAAGACTTCCACCCTATATGTTTAAGTTCGATTCCCGCGTTATTGTTTTGACACGCGTTATGGAATGTGACTCCAATCTGGACTCCTTCAGACGATAATAAGCACACAGTGTTGATGCTAATCGTTGTTGTATATTATAGGAAGATGCACAATCCAAATTCCGAAAACAGATAAAACTGAGACACACTTAACTCTTAACACAGTAAATCAGGAGTGAATCAAAACACATCACACTTAACGCAGTAAAAACAGAAGTGGGTCTAAACACAATATTATGCAGCCCTCTCGGCAAGCCGGAACGATACGTCATCAAATTGGTCGATACGAGAAAGGCAGTACATGTAATCAGTAATCAGTGTTGCTACAATAAAATGACCTATTGTGGGGAATGGAACACACTATTAAAATGAAAGGGTTAAATACATTATAATTCATAGTTACACAAT